TTTTTTGAGACGGAGTCTCACTCTGTTACCCAGGCTGGAGTACAGTGGCACAATCTTGGCTCACTGCCTCCACCTCCTGGGTTCAGGAGATTCTCCTGCCTCAGCCTCCCATATAGCTGGGACTGCAGGCATATGCCACCACACCTGGTTAATTTTTGTATTTTTAGTAGAGACGGGTTTCTCCACATTGGCCAGGCTGATCTCAAACTCCTGATCTCAGGTGATCTGCCCTGCTGAGCCTCCCAAAATTCTGGGATTACAGGTGTAAGCCACTGCGGCTGGCCCCTGGGATTGGTCTTGTAGCAAGTTTATCCTAACAAAAACAGCTACCATTTACCTCCCAGCCCCCATACACGTGCGCACACACTGATGATAAATAAGTTGCAGGCTTGCAGAAACTGACCTATCCAGGTGAACAGCTTAGTGATCCCAGCAAGCTTCCTGCTGTGCCGCCATAAAAACAGACTCCTCCAGCAGCCCCAGGCAGCAACTACCAGTTGATTACAGATAGCCCAGCAGGCCAAACCCAGTTATTATCTCTGGTTTATTATGTGCCAGACACTTACGCTGTATATTTTGTTTAATCCTCTCAACAAGCCTGCAAGAGTGGCATTAGTAACCCCTTTAAAGGCAGACAGACAGAAGCCCAGAGAGGTTAAGTAACCTGAGGTCACACAGGCAAAAAGCAGCAAGACTGGGGTTCACATCCCTGTCTGTTCCGGTCCATGTGTGGTCTCACTCACTCTGCTGCCTCCTTACCCCTCACCCACCAGGCCAGGATCAAGTCACTGTAGCGATGACTCCACGCTCCAGAGGCTCCAGTGTGAATCTGTCACTTCCATCAGAGGAGTGTGTCCCTGATCGGGGGCGGCAGTACCAGGGGCGCCTGGCAGTGACCACACATGGGCTCCCCTGCCTAGCCTGGGCCAGTGCGCAGGCCAAGGCCCTGAGCAAGCACCAGGACTTCGACTCGGCCGTGCAGCTGGTGGAGAACTTCTGCCGCAACCCAGACGGGGATGAGGAGGGCGTGTGGTGCTATGTGGCCGGGAAGCCTGGTGACTTTGAGTACTGCGACCTCAACTATTGTGGTGAGCTGCCTGGGTAGGGGCCTGAGATGCAGGGACGAATCCTGGTGGGAATAACAACAGTTGCTTCTGCTTACCGAACACTTACCGCGTTCAGTGTGCTCATAACAGCCTTACAGTAACCAGGTAGGGGTAAGGTCCTGTGCCCATTTCATAGATAAGTACATTGAGGCCCCAGGAGGTTATTGCCTAGTAGCCCAACTGTGCATGCACTCTTAACCTCTGCACCAAACGGCCTCCAAGGCCCACAGGGGAACTGGGGGGATCTAGAGAATGCGTGAGGAATGGCTCAGCCGAGTCCCAGCCGGTGCCCGGGTCCCAACAGAGGAGGCCGTGGATGAGGAGACAGGAGATGGGCTGGGTGAGGACACAGACAGGGCCATCGAAGGGCGTACCGCCACCAGTGAGTACCAGACTTTCTTCGATCCGAGGACCTTCGGCTTGGGAGAAGCAGGTGAGGTAGTGGGCATCTGAGGGACGCGGGGCTGTGGGGCTGGTGGCCAGCACTTGCCCCTCACCGCTTGGCTTGCTCTGCAGACTGTGGGCTGCGACCTCTGTTTGAGAAGAAGTTGCTGGAGGACAAAACTGAAGGAGAACTCCTGGAATCCTACATCGACGGGCGCATTGTGGAGGGCTGGGATGCAGAGATCGGCATGTCACCTTGGTGTGTCCCGGAGCCCTGTGCTACCATTCACTCCTGGGGGCAGGTGTGCTGCTGGCCCCCCACCCTCCGGCCCTGCCCACAGGCCCGGGCTTTATAGATGACAACAGCTGAGCATCCAGGATCCCACCAACTGCACAGCAGCCACATGAGATGGGTTATTTCCTTCCTTTTTTTTTTTTTTTAAGATGGAGTCTTGCTCTGTCACCTAGGCTGGAGTGCAGTGCCACAATCTCAGCTCACTGCTGTGATCTCGGCTCACTGCAACTTCTGCCTTCCAGGTTCAAACGATTCTCTTGCCTCAGCCTCCTGAGTAGCTGAATTTACAGACATGCGCCACCACACCCAGCTAATTTTTGTTATTTTAAGTAGAAACAGGGTTTCACCATGTTGGCCAGGCTGGTCTTGAACTCCTGACCTCAAGTGATCCACCTGCCTCAGCCTCCCAAAGTGTTGGGATTACAGGCGTGAGCCACCGCATCCGGCCCATGGGTGCTTTACTTCTAAGCAGATGGTAAAGCTGAGGCTCACAGAGCTGGTGGCTCACCTCCGCACACTGCTAATGGGTTTGAATCCAGTTCTTCTGATTCCAGAGCTGGGCTACACTGTGTGAACTCTGAACTGGAAGGACCTAGTAAGGGAGTACAAAAAGCAGGAGGCAGGTCAGGTGCAGTGGCTCACCCCTGTAATCCCAGCACTTTGGGAGGCCAAGAAGGGAAGATCACTTGAGGTCAGGAGTTCAAAGCCAGTCTGGGCAAAATGGTAAAACCCCGTCTCTACTAAAAATGCAAAAATTAGCCAGGTATAGCAGCATATCCCTGTAGTCCCAGCTACTAAGGAGGCTGAGGCGGGAGGATTGCTTGAGCCCAGGAGGTTGAGGCTTCAGTAAGCTGTGACTGTACCATTGCACTCCAGCCTGGGTGACAAGAGTGAAACCCTGTCTCCAAAAAAAAAAAAAAAAAAAAAGTGTGAGGCAACCCCTTAGCATCACATGGAGGCTCCAGGCCCCAAGGGCGGCCAGCCCAAGCTTGGATCTGGGCCCCGGAGGCAGCTCTGCCCCGCTGGGTTCTTAGACCTGGGACTTGTTACTTCTAGGGCTGGTGTACAGGCAGCCCCCCTCACCCTCAGCTCCTAATGCTTCCTGCTCCCCCTCCTAGGCAGGTGATGCTTTTCCGGAAGAGTCCCCAGGAGCTGCTGTGTGGGGCCAGCCTCATCAGTGACCGCTGGGTCCTCACCGCCGCCCACTGCCTCCTGTACCCGCCCTGGGACAAGAACTTCACTGAGAATGACCTTCTGGTGCGCATTGGCAAGCACTCCCGCACCAGGTACAGAACTGGTGGCCTGTGGGTGTCTGGCAGGGGTCTGAGTCCTCCAGAGCGATCATGAGGGGCCCTGGTGGCTCCGGGACAATGGGATGTTCTGTATACCCCCAGAATATGACATCCCAGCAGTCTCTGCTGGAAAGTCCATTTGGTCATGTCCTGACTGAGGCTTGGAGCTAGAGGGGGGAAACCTGTCTGTCTCCTGGGCCCTCCAACACCAGGATATGGCCCATGTGGGAGTCTCCGAAAATAGAGTCTGTCTGGACCAGGGTGTGAAGCCTGTGCCCTTGTCCCTGTCCTCCTGACTGTCTGATTCCAAAGCCCGGCACGGCTTTAGGCCCGGGAAGAAATGGCCAGGGGGCTGCCACGGCAGGAGCCAGCCCTATCCCCCCCCTGGTGGCCTGCAGGACACCCTGTCTCCCAGACCCCAAGGGCAGGCAGTTTCCTGCCCCTTGCTGGGTGAACCTGCAGCTTCTCCATTTCTCTCTTGGGGTCTCTGCAGGTATGAGCGAAACATTGAAAAGATATCCATGCTGGAAAAGATCTACATCCACCCCAGGTACAACTGGCGGGAGAACCTGGACCGGGACATTGCCCTGATGAAGCTGAAGAAGCCCGTTACCTTCAGCGACTACATCCACCCTGTGTGCCTGCCCGACAGGGAGACGGCAGCCAGGTGGGCAACCAGACGCTTATTAGCTGAGGGGCAGAAGCCGAGTTCTGGGCCTGGCTCTGATACCAGGCAGCCTTGCAGAGCCCCTTTCCCTTTTCCAGGCCTCAGTTTCTTGGAGTGAACCCAAAAGTTCTTTTCAGCACTGGCGTTTTATTTTTTATTTATGTTAAATAAACATAATAAATAATTTATTGACGGAGTTCCACTCTTGTCTCCCAGGCTGGAGTGTAGTCGTGCGATCTGGGCTCACTGCAACCCCTCCTCCCAGGTTCAAGCGACTCTCCTGCCTCAGCCTCCTGAGTAGCTGGGATTACAGGCTAATTTTTGTATATTTAGTAGAGACTACTGGGTTTCACCATGTCAGCCAGGCTGGTCTCAAACCCCTGACCTCAAGTCATCCGCCCGCCTCGGCCTCCCAAAGTGCCGAGAGCAGAGGCGTGAGCCTCCGTGCCCTGCCAGCACGGACGTTTTAGATTCTGGTCTCTAAGAAATGGCGTTGGGGCCAGGCGGCTCCTGCGAGGGTTGGCTCTCACCAGGCCCTTCTTCCTTCCCCAAAGCTTGTTCCAGGCTGGATACAAGGGGCGGGTGACAGGCTGGGGCAACCTGAAGGAGACGTGGACGGCCAACGTTGGTAAGGTGCAGCCCAGCGTCCTGCAGGTGGTGAATCTGCCCATCGTGGAGCGGTCGGTCTGCAAGGACTCTACTCGGATCCGCATCACTGACAACATGTTCTGTGCTGGCAAGTCTGGGGCGGGCTGAGGAAACATTGGGGCCCGGGTTGGGAGGACTGAGTTGTGCCTAGGTTCAAGGCATGTGACTTTGGGCAAGTTGCCTAACCTCTTGGTGGCTCAGTTTCTTCCTCTGTAAAATGGAGGTAAAAGTCTCTATCCCATAAGGTTATGGGAGGGTTAAATGAAGTAGCATGTATTAATATATTTGGCATAGTATCAGTCACCAGTGAAGTGTTCAATATATGTGAGCTCAGATAGCAGCAAGAGGCTGCAGGTGGGGAAACGCCATTCATTCAATCGCTCAGCAGATATTTATTGAGCGCCTATTACCTTCCAGGCAGTGTTCTAGGGTATACAGCAGGGACCCAGACCGACAATGTCTGTGCCCTCAGAGGGCTTCCTTCCTAGGAGGAGGGCAAGTCCATAAACAGATCTAAAACAGCAATGCCTGACCGGTGCTGTGAAGAAAAATGAAGCACAGGGAGAGAGAAGGGCTGATGAGGTGGGCTTCTAAATAGGGTGGCCAGACGAGGCAGGCAGATCACTTGAGGTCAGGAGTTCGAAACCAGCCTGGCCAACATGGTGAAACCCCGTCTCTACTAAAAATACAAAAATTTGCCAGGCATGGTGATGCATGCCTGTAATCCCAGCTACTCAGGAGGCTGAGGCAAGAGAATTGCTTGAGCCCGGGAGGCGGAGGTTGCAGTGAGCTGAATTCGGGCAGTGAGCTGCACTCCAGCCTGGGCAACAGAGTGAGACTCCATCGATCGATCAATCAATCATCAATCAATCAGGTGGTCAGAGAAGGTTGGAGAAGGCCTCCCTGAGAAGGTGATGTCTGGGCAGGGACTGGAAGAGGGGAAGGAAGGAGTGAGCAGGCATGTCTAGGGGAGGAGCACCGCAGGCTGGGGGCATGGCAGGCGCAAAGGCCCTGAGGTGTGAGCACACTTGTCTTGTCTGGGGAGCAGTAGGGAGGCCTGGGGTGCTGAGGAGGGGCAGCAGTGGGTGAGGGAGAGAAGGGCCAGGCAGAGGAGAGCCACTTCCTTTAGGGCCTGGAAGGACTTTATTGAGTGAGATGGGAAGTTATCGAGGGGCTTGAGGCAGGTTAAGAAATGATCTGACTGACTTGAAAAATAAAAAATAAAAATTTAGTGTAATTTCAGACTCACAGAAAAGTTGCAAAAATAATACAAGGATTTCCTGTATACTGTCATCCAGATTGTCCTCCATTCTGTGGATGTGTGGGAGTTTTTATATATATATATATGTGTGCATAGTTTGAGAGCAAATCGTGAATATGGTTTCTTTTCACCCATAAATACTTAAGTATTTCCCAAAAAAAAAAAAAAAAAAAAAACCCCAACCCAAGGATGTTCTCTTATATAACCACAGTACAAATATTAAAACCCAGAAATTTTTTTTGACACAGCCTTGCTGTCACCCAGGCTTGAGTGCAGTGGCACAATCTCAGCTCACTGCAACCTCTTCCTCCCAGATTCAAGCGATTCTCCCACCTCGGCCTCCCGAATAGCTGGAATCACAGGCATGTACCACCATGCCCAGCTAATTTTTGTATTTGTAGTAGAGACAGGGTTTCACCATGTTGGCCAGGCTGGTCTCGAACTCCTGACCTCAGGTGATCCGCCCACCTCAGCCTCCCAAGGTTCTGGGATTACGGGCATGAGCCGCTGTGCCAGGCCATACTTTGTTACTACTGTTATTTCTTTTGATGCTCAGATGATCCCAAGTTTGGCCAGTGGGAGTCCCTTCAAGCTGGCTTCTGTGACTTGGGGAGATGTTCTGTCATTCTTTGAGTACTTTCTTACTTTCTGGCATAGCAAGATGTTTCAGGTTAATCCTACTTTCCTGACTGTAGTGTTGGAAGCAGCCATTTCTCCAGGGAACGCTTCTAGTGGAGACTGGAATTTAGAACTGAGATCTGGGTGCTGGCGTGTGCACATTGCTAGTGGGATGTCATTACTTCTAGGCTCTCTTAGTGGACAGGACCAGAAAAAAACTGTATGATGCATATACCAATATCTCTATCATCTATATAAAAAACCGTGAGTTCCTACTGAAACCTCCAGTTCCATTCTAACACCACAGGATTAATTTTAGCTTTTCCTTTTCCATATTTGTAACTCTCTCTGTTGACAGTAAGAAACCTGACCCCCATTATCTGTAATGCACTTGCCTATTTGAGCAATACTAGATTACAGTTTCAAAATCCTCCATCCATAACACTATTAAAACCAATCCTATGGCTGGACTCGGCCCACTGTAACCTCTGCCTCCTGAACTCAAGCCAACCTCCCACTTTAGCCTCCTGAGTAGCTGGGGCTACAGGCACACACCACCATGCCCAGCTAATTTTTGTATTTTTTGTAGAGACTGGGTCTTACTGTGTTGCCCAGACTGGTCTTGAACTCTGAGCTCAAGTGATCCACCCAACTTGGCCTTCCAAAGTGCTGGGATTACAGATGTGAGCCACCATGCCTGGCCTCTCCTAGGAAATTTTTAGAAGTAGTGTTGTTAAGTCAAAAGGCAAACATGTATGTCATTTTTTAGAGATTTTAAAATTTCTTTCCATAAGGGTTGTACCAGTTTGCATTTCCATCACAGTGTATGAGAATGCCTGTTTCCCTACAACCTTGCCAAAAGAATGTCACAGTTTTAAATTTTTACCAATCTGAGAGGTGAGAAATAGTACATCAAAATTGTTTTAATGGACAGCTTTCAAATTGAAAATGAGGTTGAACATCTTTTCGTATGATTAAGGAACTTTTTTTTTTTTTGAGATGCCCTCTGTCACCTAGGCTGGAGTACAGTGGCACAATTTTGGCTCACTGCAAGCTTCACCTCCTGGGTTCAAGTGATTCTCCTGCCTCAGCCTCCCAAGCAGCTGGGACTATAGGCACAAGTCACTGTGCCGAGATAATTTTTGTATTTTTAGTAGAGACAGGGTTTCACCATTTTGGCCAGGCTTGTCTCAAACTCCTTACCTCGTGATCCTCCCGCCTCGGCCTCCCAAAGTGCTGGGATTACAGGCATGAGCCACCACGCCTGGCCTAAGGACTATTTTTATATAATTATTTTTTTGAGACAGAGTCTCGCTTTTTCACCTAGGCTGGAGTGCAATGGTGCAATCTTGGCTCACTGCAGCCTCCACTTCCCTGGTTCAAATGATTCTCCTGCCTCAGCCTCCTGAGTAGCTGGGACCACAGGTGCGTGCCTGGCTAGCATTTGTATTATATAATTTTTTTGTGAATTGTCTCTTCATGTCCCTTTTTGGTCCCTTTCTTATCAATTTTTGTGAGTTCTTCACATTTATACTAGGCCTTTATTTGTGATATATATTGCAAATGTTTTCTCCTAGTTTGTCAGTTTTTTTTTTTTTTTTTTTGAGACAGAGTCTCGCTCTGTTGCCCAGGTTGGAGTGCAGTGGCCGGATCTCAGCTCACTGCAAGCTCTGCCTCCCGGGTTCACGCCATTCTCCT